CATTCCAATGCCTGACAACCCTTTCAGTAAAGGGTTGTCTCTGCCAAGATGCCTGTAGGTGGACATTAGTGTCATATAAGTAGTGGCCTTTTGTTTAAGTGAGTCTTGCACTGCTGAAGTATTTGTTGATTTTATTCCCTCTGTCCCAGCTTTGTATGTGAATATGTGACCCACTAGCTTATACGCATTTCAGATAAGCTGCTGCTAAAAGCAGATAAAATAACGCTGCTTTTATAAAGCAAGAGCAGGTGTTTGTGTTTGAAGATGTTTCAGTGTCAGTTATGTTTGTCTTCATGAGCTATTCAGTAGCCAGTTGGTTTGACCTGGATAGGTTAGATGTTACACCATACAACACAATCCTCTCCTGTTACAAGTTCTGTTACTAAATCCCTCTTCACGATAGCAAGGGAGGCTTCTCAGGCGGAGTGAGTTGTGTGTTAAGTTAGACTCAAGCAACGCCAAAACTGAGATGGAGAATTTTTGGATGTACCAGATTGAGTATCGTAAGAAACATGTAAGTAGATATTCAAGAGGAGAAATGGGGTAACTATTACTTTCTTGTAGCTGCACTTAAGAAAACACTTTGTTATTCCATTAATGGCCATCTCTATGTAATAACAGCATGCTTCACTTGAACATACTATCTATGTTCTGACAGCATTTTTGTTAGGCTTCTAAAACGTGTTTTGTTAACAGTCAGTGAAGCAGTCACTAAGACTATTTTACTATTTTAGACTTCAGTCTGTAGTGGTTTGAGCAAGTTGTCTGTCCGCTATGATTTATCAAAATATTTCTTGTTATTGCAATGAAAGCTACTTCCAGGCTGTGACTGAATTCTTTCCTTGGGCACTATGTATGGTACCTCTAAAAATGCGTTTTGATGCAGAAGAGAACTGAGTGTTTATTCCTCAGACATTGAACTTTTTTGTACAAACTTTTTTGTTTTTTGGGACAGCTCTCATGTCATGTCATGTAGCAAACTTCGTAGACTGTTTGATATTTGGATTTTGTAGTTTGGGGATTTATTTTTTTTCCTGAAAAATTTGAGCGTTCAAGCACAGCACATGGAAATCTGTGCGATCATTTTGATGGTGGCCTAATTCTGATACTTTGTAGATGAAAATAGCTGGGTAAAGGTATTTATACTGCTACTGGAGTAACTGTTAATACATTTTAAGTGGTGCAAAATTTCTTAATTAAATATATATAATTATATAATAATCTATAATATATAATAATAATTTTAAATAATAACATTTTAGCAACCAACCAATTTAAGTGAAATTATTTATTGGTATCGCTTTAGTGCATGAATATGAGAGCTTTCAGGCATTTTAAAGAATTTTTTTTGGTGGAAACATGTGATGCTAAAGTATGATATGCTTTACTTTGTTTCTTTGTTTACTATTGAAAGCTCGGTCCTACAACTTCCTAACGCAACTGGTGAGGGAACCGACCAGGGAAAGTGCCCTACTGGACCTGCTGATAGTTAACTCGGAAGGTCTTGTGGGGGATGTAAACGTTGGAGGCCGTCTTGGACAAAGTGATCATGAAATGATAAAATTTTCAATTCTCACTGAAGCAAGGCGGGGGGCCAGCAGGACTGCCACCCTGGACTTCCGAAGGGCAGACTTTGGCCTCTTCAGGAGCATGATTGGGGGTGTCCCTTGGGAGATGGTCCTCGAGGGCAAGGGTGCCCAGGAAAGCTGGTCATTCTTCAAGGAGGCACTCTTAAAGGCGCAAGATAAAGCTATTCCCAAGTCCCTAAAATCAAGCAGGAAGGGAAGAAGACCAGCCTGGCTAAATAGAGAGCTTCGGCTGGAACTCAGGAACAAAAAGAAGGCTTATAATCTTTGGAAAAAGGGCCTGGCAGATAAGGAGAAATACCATGAAGCGGTGAGGATATGCAGGGGGAAAATTAGAAGGGCCAAGGCTCAAGTGGAGCTCAGCTTGGCCACCAATATTAACAATAACAAAAAGGGGTTTTTTCAGTATGTTAACAGCAAGAGAAAGGTGAGGGATAATGTGGGCCCACTGATGGATGAGGTGGGCACCCTAGTAGTGGAAGACACGGAGAAAGCAGAGTTGCTGAATGCCTTCTTTTCTTCAGTCTTCACTGTTAGGACTACCCCTCATGAATCTGTGGCCTTAGAGGCAAGGGGGATGGTATGGAGAGAGGAAATTTTTCCTCTAGTAGAGGAGGGCCAGGTTCGGGACCACTTGGCCAAACTGGACATTCATAAGTCCATGGGGCCTGATGGGTTGCACCCACGAGTGCTGAGGGAGCTGGCAGACGTTATCGCTGGACCACTCTCGATCATCTTTGAGAAGTCGTGGAGAACAGGAGAGGTGCCTGAGGACTGGAGGAAGGCCAACATCACTCCAGTCTTCAAAAAGGGCAAGAAGGAGGACCCTGGGAACTACAGACCAGTTAGTCTCACCTCTGTCCCTGGGAAGGTGATGGAGAGACTCATACTAGATGTCATCTCCAAACAAGTTGAAGAGTGGGGGGTTATTGGAAGTGGGCAACACGGGTTTACCAAGGGTAAATCATGTATGACCAATCTGATAGCCTTCTATGATGCCATAACCGGTTGGTTGGATGAGGGGAGGGCAGCAGATGTCATCTACCTTGACTTCAGCAAGGCTTTTGACACTGTCTCCCATAACATCCTCATTGGGAAACTGAGGCAGTATGGGCTGGATGAGGGGACAGTGAGGTGGATTGAGAACTGGCTGTGTGACAGGACCCAAAGGGTAATTATTAATGGAGCAGGTTCAAGTTGGAAGCCTGTAACCAGTGGAGTCCCCCAGGGGTCAATACTTGGACCCGTGCTGTTTAATATATTCATCAGTGACCTGGACGAGGGGACAGAGTGTATCCTCAGCAAGTTTGCTGATGATACCAAACTGGGAGGAGTGGCTGACACCCCGGAGGGCTGTGCTGCCATCCAGCGAGACTTGGACAGGCTGGAGGGCTGGGCAAAGAAGAACCTCATGAGGTTCAACAGGGAAAAGTGTAGGGTCCTGCACCTGGGGAAGAAGAATGTCAGGCACCAATACAGGTTAGGGGTGGACCCGCTAGAGGCAACTACTGAAGAGAAAGATCTAGGGGTCCTGGTGGACAGTAAAATGACAATGAGTAAACAGTGTGCTCTTGCGGCCAGGAAGGCCAATGGTATCTTGGGTTGTATAGGGAAGAGTGTAGCCAGCAGGTCAAGGGAAGTCATTCTCCCCCTCTACTCTGCACTGGTGAGGCCACAACTGGAATACTGTGTCCAGTTCTGGGCTCCCCAGTTCAAGAGGGACAGGGAACTACTAGAAAGAGTCCAGCGTAGGGCTACAAAGATGATTCAGGGATTGGAGCATCTCCCTTATGAGGAGAGACTGAGAGAGCTGGGACTCTTTAGTCTGGAGAAGAGAAGGCTGAGGGGAGACCTTATCAACGCCTACAAGTATCTCAAGGGAGGGTTGAAGGAGGAGGGAGCCAGACTCTTTTCAGTGGTTCCCACCGAGAGGACGAGGGGCAACGGGCACAAGTTGGAACATAAGAGGTTCCACTCAAATATGAGGAGAAACTTCTTCACGGTGAGGGTGACGGAACCCTGGAACAGGCTGCCCAGGGAGGTTGTGGAGTCCCCTTCTTTGGAGATTTTCAAAACCCGCCTGGATGCAGTCCTGAGTAACATGCTCTAGCTCTAGGCAATCCTGCTTCAGCAGGGGAGTTGGACTAGATGATCTCTATGGTCCCTTCCAACTCTAGAAATTCAGTGAAATTCAGTGAAATATCCTGATGCCACTATTAGGTTGACAGTATTTATATTTATTCGTAATACAGAAATGCTACGTAACTGTTGGGAATGTCAGCACTATTGAGGATGCTCCGTTAAGTAAATAGGGGTTTCCATGTGTGTAGCCGGGTGAGTGTGGCACCATAACTCCAGCAGTTACACAGCGAGTTGGGGGAGCCTGTGTCTCTCTCACAGCCCCTGCGTGAGTGCCGGCAGTGCGATCCTTCAGTCTGACAGTACAAGCACATGCCAGCGTTCCAGGGACCTTTTCACAGCTGCCTGTGGCCAGGGACCATTTTGCAGCTGCATTTCCTTTTTGCCATGCAGTTGTAATTCAAAATATAGGGAGATGCAGGGACTACTCTTTTACCCAGGAGATACCTGTGAAAACAATTGCTTCTTAACTCTTTGGAAGCCTTTATTAGTTAACTATAATTCTAATATTTAGTAACTAGATAAGATAATCCTTTTAAAGAAATGAGGGTAAAGAAAAAGTGGAGGAGAATGGAATTTTATGCTCTTGTTTTGTTTTGTATCTGTGAAGCTAAGCTTGCAAAACTTAGATTATTTTTTTTTTAGCACACTGTTTCACGGAACAAAATGTTTCAGCTGGAGCGGAGGCATAACAGGAGGACACTCCTAGATCAGACCACTCCTAGGCCAGCTCAGAATACTGGAAGTGTAGCCCTTTTCTGGTATGACTTACTGTCTCAGAGAAAAGCCATGTCGTGTAATATTTTACAAAACCAGAAGAATAGTATTTGACTGTTTTACCATCAGTGGTGAACTGTTGAGCTGGCAAAGCTAGGGCCAAACTCCCTATGTCAAAGGAGAGTGTAGAATGCCAGGGTTGCTGAGCTAGAGACCCAGCGTGCGTCATGGTTATCATGATTAAAAGCAAGAGTTACAACAATTTAAAAGTGTTTGTCTTGGTTTTGGTTCCCCCCCCCCCCCCCCCCCCCCCCCCCGCGTCTTGTTTGT